CCTTGTTGGTTTAGATCTCACTTACTCATACTGAACATCCAGATTCTTGACTTCAAGGCTACCATGCCTAGGCCACAATTTCCCTGGTTCATTGTCTTCGTTTGACTTTTGCTCGTTTGGCGCAGAAGAACAGAACATGCGAATACGCGCAATAGCGCCCAGTGATGTCTCAAGGAGGGACCAATTCAAAATGATGCCCTTCATGTTGGTACCAAGTCGCATCATGTTGACCAGTGCGATACCCAATAGCGAGGGGTCAATCTTCTCACGGAGGGTTACAGCAAAAACAACAAGGATTATCGTCAAGAATGCTACCACCATATCGAGAACCAGAGTCAGCCATCGTTGAATACAGTTGAGAAGATACGCTGGTTTCTGGGCATCATCGATTCGACTCAGTGCTTTGTCAGTATACGGCTGAATCCAACCAAAGGCTCGAATTGTGGCGAGTCCGTCAATGGTCTCGAGGAAATGTGAGAACAGCGGTGCCTTGTGCTCGATTCTAGACTACGAGTCAGCGCATTTCAACGAACCAAGAGTATGCTTATCTTACTCCAGAAGACGGAGCTGTTTGGATGTTCGGACATAGAAACGCTGGATGAGGACAAGCACAACGATCACAAATGGAATCGAGATGGCAAACCAGCTGACAGCTGCCATAGCAAGACCAGCAGCACCGAAGCATGCAGCAACCTCTATAATGAGATATTAGCTCACATCAACCCTGCTGTATAGATATATCTCACCGAAGAGGAAGATGGAAAAGGCCATAGGGAGGATAATGTCAACATGGCGCAAATCTTGACTGAATCTGTTGATCAAAGATCCCGCCGCGCTGTTGTGAAGGAAGGATAGAGGAGCGCCCATAGCAGCGTCCAAGAGTCGTGAATGAAGCAGTTTTCCACTAACGGGTGCGCAAACCAAAAGGAACATCCTGAGTTCTTGTCAGCAAAAGTCTCGTTTTCAGAGTCAGTTTAACCCACGCAATGGCAAGCGTAATAAGAATGCCCTCGAAAGCAGATAGGACGGTATATATGCTGAGCCAGTAGCCAATATCTCTGCTGTCACGGCCTTTTCCATCACCCCACCAAGTAACCCAAACATCTAACACATGTTAGCAGTGTATAGACTTTCTGAATGGAATACTTACAACGAAAGGATGTGATGACCCCGGCACTGGCGATAAGAAGTATCTGGGTGAGCATATTGTGTATTCCATTGGCGTTGAAGTAGTATGTAAACACGCTTCGATCACTCGGCACTTCACTCGGCTCATCTTCAATCGCATCCTTGCTGTCGGTCTTTTCACTCTCCTCTGTAGGTTTGGTCTCGGTAGAAGGTTGGTCATCGTGATCGTCGTGGCTCGAAATGTCAAGTTCATGGATATATCCATTTCCAGATCGCAGCTCAGGGTAAGTTCCTTGCTCCACAACCCTCCCGCCCTTTTCAAGGACGACAACAAAGTCGGACTCGGGGAGCCTGTTCACTAGACGGACGTCAAAATACTGAAGTAGGATTAATTAGTAACAACGTACCTGCATGCGTTGCCAAAATAACAGTAGTACCGTTCTTTCGAAGAAGACCATCCTTTCCGAAGACACGAGTGAAGATGATCTGCTCAGTCACCTTGTCGAGTCCACTAAACACATCATCAAAGATGGCCACAGGCTTCCTAGAGTATAGGGCACGAGCTATAGCAATTCGTTGCTTCTGTCCACCGCTCAACTTGACTCCTTGCTCACCAACCTGGGTAAAATCTCCCTCAAGAAGCCGTCCCAAGTCAATGGTCAGGTCGCAGGCATTGATGACTGTCTCAAACCAGGCGCTGTCGTATCCCTTGGATTCTGCGATGATATTGGCACGGATGGTCGCATTCATGACCCAGGGAGTCTGGTCGCAAAACGCAACTTCTGATGTATTCAGAGACACATTGCCCATAGAAGACGTTGTTTCGCCCAGAATAGCCTTCAGCAGACTAGATTTACCGGAACCGACTGGACCGACAAGCATGGTAAGTGATCCATTCTTGTGGCTGGGGAAAGTTGTGTTGATGTCTTGAAGAACGGCCTTCTCGCCCCAGTGAAAGTTACCATCCTCTATTACGATTTGAGTTCCATCAGCTCCGATCGGAATGGCTTTCAAAGGAGTCGCCTCGATGGTTTCTTGGAAGGGCTGCGAGCTCTCCGTAGATGACCTAGATGTATTTTTAGAGTGGCCATTGACTTGGCGGCGGTCGATTCTTTCTTCCAAATTGAGGAAATCTTCCATTCTTCTGAAGCATCCAAAGACTGAGAAAGATCCTGGGATACTTCCAAGAAGACGCGATAGAGGGTCCATCATGACACCCAAGATAGACAATGCTGTGATAGCTTGGGCTGCAGAGAATGGTTCGCCGTTTCCGAACTTTGCTGCAAGGGCATACGCGCCGAAAGTGATCGCTTCAGTCATCCCTACATTGCAATTGGCTAAAAGGGTGAGCAAATAGAATATCTGCGGCACCAGAGCTACTCACTGATACAGTTCAGATAAACATTGATCACGCGGTAATGTTTACTGGCTTTGATCTCTTCATCTCGTTTCTGAGAAATGAGGCTGCTGAATCTTTCCGACAGTCCAAGCATCTTGACTGGTTTCATTGAGCCGAGAACCTCAGAAGTAAGATTGATGCGGTCCTGAGTGGCCTTCTGATATTTGATCTGGCGAGCGACCATCATCTTTCCAATAGAACCCGTAAGGAGGAGGGAGACTACACAGTTAGAATGAATTGGTCGAGAAGATAGAGTTACTCACTGATTGCTGTAACAATAGGAGCAACACAAACAGCACCAAGCTGTGCTGCCAGCAGGTACATAGCAATTCCAACTGTGAGAGTGTTCGCCCAGGATTCAACCAAGAGCATGTGGAGTTTCTCAATCAGGGTTTCCACATCATTTCCCATGAGTGTGACAGCTGAAGATTCGCCGAGGTCGTCGGTAGGGAGTTTCATCATCTTGCTGTAAACCAAGGTCATAAGCCCCCTTCTGACCATCGCGCCAGCTCTGAATGTCAAATGCTCGTACCAAGCTGTGAGTAGCTATGCAATGTTAGCTTGGGGTGCTTCCGTCATTCGGTGTGATCATACCGCAGAGCCGATAAAAACGAAGGCGAATGCACCTATCAGACCATAACCCAAGTTCAGTGTCGAGTCGGACTCGGGCATTGTGAGAAATCGCAATGCGTTGCTGACAAGAAAAGGCTGAGAGATGCTCAAGGCGATCATTCCAACGCGGGGTGGTATTATACCAAGAAGCTCCCATCTCAAAACGGTCACAGTTGTCAAAAATAGAGAAGGTTTCTTGCTCTTCGAAGTGGCTGCAATCCCGCATTAGAAATGGTCGTCTCATTTTGTTGTGCTATCATACCTTTTTTCCATGATTTTCCGAAACGAACTGCGAGCTTCTCTGACGATAGCTTCTCGTAGATTGTGGGCAGGTCATTGTTGGTTAGAACAGTAGCCCAGCCTGAGATGAGCAGTGAGTTCAACCAAACAAAGAACCCACGGCTAAAGGGGCCACTTGTGCTCTCTTTTGAAATTGGCTTTTCAGTTGATATCAGAATCCTGCGTTTCTCGATTGTCTCCAGTACAAGCAACGCCAATTTAAAGATTGTCGAGGTCGAAAGAGTTGCGGCATACGAAATGTTCAGTGACATGAGCCATTCTGTGCGAAGTCGAGCGGCGTCGAATAGAAGCGAGACAAACAAATATGCAGTGAGGATGAATGATGGTCGAACAGACTTGACATGTTCGACATGAGCCAACAAAAGAATGGCGAAAGCTGCTAAGAGATTGAGAATAGCCGCTGCTAGTGAGAAGCGAGTATTGAGTTTCTTGGCAGATGGAACCAGAGCCAACAAAACCACTTGTAATACAGCATATATAGCGGAAGTGATCTGAGTATTTTGCTTAGCCAAAATTGAAAAACGGAGAAGAAGAAAAAGACAAAGAGACAGTGAAGAATGCTCTTACCAGCTTTGGTGTATATGTCGCGTGACGCTTGGCCTTGTCTGGACTTCTAAAGAGGTAGAAGGCTCGTGGGCCAGCGATAGCAAGGAAAATAGCTGATGGGAGAATGCTGAGGATACTCTCCTGAAAAGATACTCAGACATAGTTAGTCAACTGCTCACGCCAAGTTCTCTCATGTACTCACAGGTGAAATCAAATCCACCGCGACAACCTTCAGTCCAAACGCTGGGCCCAAAGAGGCTATCGCCACAGGCCGTGGAGTTGTAACCGTCCATAACGGCTAGAACTGTCGCCAAAAGGCGTCTGCAGTCCAAGAAAAAGGCCAAGCTTGAGTGCTTCTTGGCCTCTTGGGGTGCAGAATGTTGCAAGCCAAGGGAAATATAAATGGAGTTGACGTCCCTGAGACCTTATACCCGTGGACCCGATGGCGTGGTAGTACCCTGCTCATGCATGCATCAGCTCCAACTGCACAGGTCCTATAAGTCGTACGCAATTATAGTTACTCTGCAACCACTACAGATAATCTAGAACGACTTTGATGCAGTTTTGTAACTTGGCCAAGCTAACACTCCTGCTATAAAAGGTCGTGCAGCATTCGAGACTCGATTTTTGACAGCATCGGTCAGCACGCGGCAAAATAATGAGCATCTCGGACGAATAGAGTCCGTTAAAATGAGGAGGCGGATCAAAATCCTTGTTGGGACGTTTTCTTTTGCGAGTTCGGCTAGCATTTATCATTTGCTGGCCGACTTACAAAAGTCCCTTGGCATGGCCTTATTCGGAAGGTAACCGATAAGCATATCGCGACTAGATAGATCCAATGTATCCGTACATCGGAAGTATTATTCCTTACAACCTGCAGTGGCACGAAGTATTATATTAACAGTAACAAAATAAAAGTGTTCTATTTGGGTATCTTTCAATTTAGATAGCAGATGAATATGTTTCTTAAAATTGGCACACTCAGATTGTTGCTTGTAGCTCCTCCGAACTCCAACTACTGAAGTCGCAATGGATCATCTGGCATATAATCATCTTCTTCGTAGCCGTCGCTGTCTGTTGGATCTTCTCTTGAGCGCTTCTTCGGTGGCTTGACAAAGAAAAGCGCAATCCAAGACAGACCACAGAGGAACGAGATGTAAAACCAAGGCAGTCCGATCCAGATTCCTTTTCGCTTCAGACCCTGGTCAAAGAACCAAGCCAAGACTGGCCCTCCAATAAATGACCCTATCACCTCAATCATACCTATCAAGGCATACAGTCGAGCAGTATACTCAGGTAGCACGTAGTGTGTAACAGTTGCGCGAGCCAGAGGACTATCGGCCGCGCCAAATGTCCCAATGAAGAGACCAAAAAGAAACATGACAGCATTATGACTGATGCCTTGCCAAAAGGCTGCAAAGGCGAGTATTCCGGTAGATATTCGCGTCAAGAATAAATCTTTGCCAAATGCCGACATTCGAAATCGAGGGGACACCAGAATCTCCGATACCTTGGGCAACCCGGCGAGGATGATGAGGTTTAGGATTCCCAAAGGAGACAGAATCAAGCTCACTTCAGCCATCTTCCACTTGAAATGCTTGCTGATATATTGGCCCAGGGTTGTCGTGTAAGCCGTAAACCGTGCGTTCGTCACGAAGAATGTCACCATGATCATGAGAACACTTGGGTCCTTGAGCATGCTAACTGAATGCTTGAGATCCTTGACAGCGTGCGAAATATGCCCCTTGAAGGTGGTTGGTGCGTTTTTGCCCGCCTGAGCTTTCTGGTGCTTGAGGTTGATAGTCAAGGTTTCAGGAAGCAAACACAGGATGCCTATGATGATGGGAACGGTAGCAAAGACCAAGTAGACGGGAACCCAAGGTCCATACTTGTTCATTAGGATGCCTGCAATGATGGGGCCTGAAATACCTCCCAACGTCGCACCAAACGTAAGCCACAAGAAATGCTTGGCTCTGGAAGTGATATTAGCATATGCCTGTAGAGAATGAAATCATGTCCACTTACTTGTCCTCCTCCGAACTGACATCGGCCGCGATCGAATAGAGGGTAGAGAACATTACCGGAATGCCACCGCCGAATATCTGAAAGAAACCTCCCACGATCAAAAGATAGGGCTTTTCTCGAAGTTCACCTTGAAACGCCTTCATGCTGAAGGGGGCAAAAAGGAAGCACACGGCAATCCCAGACCATGCCAACATCACAGTGGGTTTACGGCCAATCTTGTCGGACATCATTCCATAAGGAAAGGCTACCACAAGACCTGGGAAATATTAGACACTGAATATTGGGCGAGTTATTCTTCTGGGGTGCCACTCACCGACAATAGAGGTGATGAGACTGTTCCAGCCATACAAGTATCCAAGCTGAGATTGTACCTCATCAACCTTGCATTTCATCTCATCAATGATGTCTGTAGAGGTATCCTGGTAGTGTATATGGCAAAACATATCCTCAATCAAACGCACAGTGGGCAAAAGCAACAACATCCCGCTCAAAACAACAGCAAATTTGATGACAGCGATCAAAATGACAATTCTTTTCGGTGAATGAACGCCCCATCGCGAGAATCGGTAACTCGGAATCGGTTCTGAATGAGAATGAAGGCTTTCGTTATCGCTTACTGCATCATCTTCTAGCGGTTCGAGATCGAGCAGAGGCACATCCAGATGAGACTCCAACTCCACATCGTCGCTAGAAACAGGATGATACTGAGGTGCCATGGTGATAGGAAAGGTTAAGGAACGACTCAAGACAATGCCATTTGGCCTGGAAGAGGCCAAAGATGGCTGAGATTGGTTTTTAAAAGAAAGGGAATTTTGATAAGACGTCAGAATAATCAAGGGAGGCTGAGCTAACTTGAAATTTGACTAGGCTATTTCAAGTATCAGATCCCCCCAGATTTAGCTTCTGGGCTGACAGCTTCAGAGATTTCAGGGGTTGGAAAGCCACCGACGACCCTTGTTCTTGGTCGCTGAGCCTCTGTAGGGCTGTTTTTGTTACGTGGCTCAGGCACGTAGTCTGTGCTGGTACGCGTATTCATATCGGATTCTTCTTGTTACACAATTTGTTTCCACGGCGGAATTGGCTCCGTATTGTGCATTGATTTTAATGCTCTGCCTTATGCACTGAGTTGTTACACATAAGCACCAAGAATAGTCAGGGCCTAACAAAGTTGTAAACGTCACATCTAAAATGGATATCGATATTTTATCGGAAGGTATCATGAATTATGCCGCTTGAATAATGGCAGATGCCGCGATGCATAGAAAGTCTATTTTGCAGGACCGTCAACTGCCGTTGCGGGGCCGTATATATCAAACCCCGCACCCGTACCATCCGTCTCTCCGGGCCCGGTTTCTCTCTTTTAAGAATCAACGACACCCGAAATACAATAGTCTATTACGGTCAACCTAGCCTCTTTAAACTCATAGATCAAGCATCTCAGTCATGTCTTCTCCTCTTCGTATTGGCTACGTGCCAGAGCACTTCTCAACTCCCCTCTATTTTGCTCAGAAGCACTTTGGTCTTGATGCGGAGCTGATTCCCTTCCCTTCAGGCACCGGCCACATGGTCACTGCTATTCGAGCTGGTGAGATTGATGTAGCTGTTGGTTTGACTGAGGGCTGGATTGCGGGTCTAGGCAAGGAGGGTGTTGAGGGCGATGGCGGATATCGTCTCGTTGGCACATATGTCGAGACACCTCTTTGTTAGTCTTCTTCGCCGTCACGATGATATAGTCACTAACGTATACAGGCTGGGCTATCTCTACTGGTGCAAAGCGACCTGAGATCACCTCTGTTGACTCCCTCAAGGGCGGCAAGATCGGTGTTTCACGCATTGGCTCAGGAAGTTACGTGATGGGCTTTGTCCTAGCCGATCAGCAAGGCTGGTTGACACCCGGCGCCGCAGAGAAGCCCTTCTCCGATACAGTTGTTCTCAACAACTTTGAGAATCTTCGAAACGCCGTCAACAGCGGTGAGGCCGACTTCTTCATGTGGGAGCATTTCACCTCCAAGAAGTTCTACGACTCTGGTGAGATTCGCCGCGTTGGCGAGATTTACACTCCCTGGAGCAGCTGGAAGATCGTTGCTTCTACGAAGCTCACCCAGAATGGTCTAGATGCCCGTGTCAAGGACCTTTTTGGAAAGCTGGATCAGGGCATCAAGCACTTCAATAATAATCAAGAGGAAGCTGTCGCGTACATCTCAAGCAGCCTCGGATACACAGAGCCTGATGCCCGAGAGTGGCTCAAGACTGTCCGGTTCCCTACCAAGACTGAGGGTGTCCAGGCTGAGGTTGTTCAGAACACGGTATCCATATTGAGAAAAGCGGGAGTTTTGGCTAAAGGCAAGGGCATGGAGCCCCAGTCCATGGTGTTCTCGTCATAAGCTGGCCTTAATGACCGATCAATTAGCAAAAGCTACGAACTAGCAACTCCAAATTTATGACTTTTCGTCAATTTGATCTTTTTCCTTCCCCCCTTACCATTTCGCCCACGGCAATTCACTACCCACTTCACCGACCACTATCTCCCTAACGCTCCGGTTCGGTACACATCTTTCGGAGGTGATCGTAAAGATGGGTTAACTGGTTGCAGTTTCTCCCAACAAGAGTCCTTTCTTCCATATTTCTGATTGCGTGAAGTAGATCGATGATGCGCTCTTGGTAAGTCTCAGCGCGCAGCGGCCATAACCGCGCTGAGATGAGTTCCCGTTGAAATTCGTCACAAGAAAGGGATCGACAATAGGAACATGCGGCAACTTTATAGTCTTGATAGGTATGGAAGATATTTCCGGTGGGAAGAATGCCTCCCTCCATGTAGAGGACTTGGTGGGAAAGAAGACGTAGCCCCTTGATGATTTTGTCGACATAAAACTCACGCTTGTCCAGCAATGTATTGTCTGTTGCACAATCAGCTCAACTTTCAAGATAGATAAGGCAGGATATCACTTACCAATAAGTCCGAGGTCCTGTATCCTGGCCCAGTCCCTATCCTCGATGCAATCCCTTACCTCTTCGGGCAACTCTCTCATATCGGCTCTGCAGAAAAGGCATAAGTTGTCGAGGATCAACTGCGTAATGTCTTGAAGTCTTAGCTTTTCGGCTACGGGAGTCAGAAGGAGCCATTCTTTCACCCGGTACAAGTACTTAGCCTTTCTTGCCATGCCAAAGATACCCCTTGAGATGGCTACCTTGTCGAAGAACGGAGAGGATGGTGCTCCTTGAGTTCCGACCATTGTTGGATCCATATAGCTGCTGTAAGTGACTTTCGGATGTCCCAACCAGGCATGAACTTCGAGAATGTAGAATAGAAGGCGAGGGCTGAACTCTTCATAGTTCATCACCTCTTTGCCGTGGACAATATCCAAGACTATTCGGAGAGCGTCCTTAGCTCTCTCATTCCTGAAGTCAATACCATTGGTGTCGTTGGCCATCCTTTTGCGTCCGCCCAGGAGTTCGAAATGGCGCCAGGGAGGACATATTCTGTTCATGCGATCTTCATCAACTGGAGAACTCAGGATCCCGTCTCCTTTCGGCACACAGAGCACGGAGGTTCTTTTGACTCTGTTCAATCGAGAGGCACCATGAGATATGTTGTGTGTGATATAAGGCCGGTATCGAGTCGAAGTCGAACTTTCTTTCTCCGTCGTGGTTCCTTTATACTTAGCCATTGTATTAGAGTTCTTGCGCTTTGAATGCTTTAGGAGCAGGCGGAAAATGTTCTTTCAACTCGGGCGACGGTTTAAGCGCAAATCAACAAAGTTCAATAATGAGTCAAAGAAATAGGTAGGCAGAAAGTATGCATTAAACCGAACTACGGGCATATGTGTAGTAGAAGATAAGACTTTAATTGGATAACTTTGAAAGTAAGTTGTTGGCGCAGCTTGACAGTGTTGGAAATGAATGGGAGGCCCAGATCGATTCACTGACCTCCCGAGAAGATCAGCCAGGAGCTTGGATGTATTTGGGCAAGCACAACGGATACATGCAGCTTCATAGCAAACATCCAGTCCGAAGCCTAAGACGAGGCTGCTTCATTGGTCCTTTCGAAATGAAGAGGGGAGAAACAATATATATCCGTTAGGTTAAGGTATGTCGAATTGTCCTTGGTGTTTGCTACATCAACCGCCCTGTCAACGCGCTTAGATAAATAGGAATGATATTCGAATAAAGATATACCAAATCACTAAGTTTGATATCACAGCATTACATGTTTTAAATCTACTCATATCATTGGCCTTTGAACTTTGGTCAATATGTCTACGTGTTGCTAGTACTGTTGCTGGTTCCTTTTAAATTACCCTATATATTCCTTCACAAATACATCGCATTCACTACATACTTTACTACAGCTACTAGCAAAGAGCTTGGTCCTTTTTGTTTATTAAAGAAATCGGTAAGCCGTCGAACCTTTCGCATTCATACTTATGAATGCTCAATTTTGGTACAAATACTACTAGGTACCCTATTTGCGTTCACCAGTTCGGTATATCTTAAGCATGTCAGGAAACACTCTATTAGAGACCAATATCTTTGATGCATTGGTTTAATATCGTTATCCAAACCACTATATAAAATTATAAAACTAAAAAAGATCTGACTTGGAGTCAACCATACCTATGCGCGATGTTAGTACAAGTGACATCAGAATAGGTTTCACTGATGGGAACCTATAAACCACCCCCGATACCGGCTCAAAAATAGAATCCTTATCTTAAACTTGCGAATGATTACCCCAAAGTGTCACCAAGATCCCCGCTTCGATTAATTGCGTGCTCAAGACCCTGGAATCCAATAACCGTCCGATATCCGCGACCATATTAATGTTATCTCCCTCCCACATTTCTAAACACAACCATCGAAATACCCTCAAAGCCGCAGTGGTCGCTTGCGCTGACATCACCAACTTCTTCGCTTATCGCGACTGGGGCCGAGACGCGCACAGTTGCGCGCATCCGGGGAAACTGATTTCGCATTGGAGATAAGAGATGGCACCGGCTATGTCGACTTTATCAGATGAGGGATCGCTTTCGCAAGAGCGACAGCATGTACAAGACGAGAACGATGTGGCAGTACCTTCGAGCCCGCTACTCGAGTCGAGATCAAGATCACCAGCTGGGTTGAGGGCGAAACTGGGCTTGGGCGGTGTTGCGAGAAGAACCCTTGGCTTTGCGCTGTTATTGCTGACGGTGTTCCTATGGACATTATACAATTTCATCGCCAGTGTAGGGGCATCAAAATGGTAGCCTTCATGACCAAGCTAACATTTGCTTTAGTACATGTTCTCTGATCAAACCTACAACAAGCCTTTCTTTATCGTTTACCTCAACACCTCGATATTCGCAATCTCCTTAATACCCAAGTTCTTCAAATACCTACGGAAGCATGGAATCAGTGGAATGCGACACGATGCGACGCAACTATGGTCCGATTACAAGCACGGCAGAATAAATACGAAATCACTCTATCGAACCGAGGACGAACAGGCAACCGAGCGCTTGATATCGCAAGGATACGGAAGCACCGAAACCGCAACCTCCGAAGAGAAGCTGACGTTCAAGGAGACTGCTGTTTTGAGCTTCGAGTTCTGCATGCTGTGGTTCTCAGCGAACTACTTTGCGTCAGCCTGTCTCGAATACACAAGCGTTGCGAGCGTTACGATCCTGACATCCACGAGTAGTGTCTGGACTCTTATCTTCTGCTCCCTATTCGGAATCGAACGGTTCTCGACAGCCAAGATCTTGGGTGTGGGAGCCTCTCTAGCAGGAGTGATTCTTATCTCGACTGTGGATTTATCCGGCAAAAGCGATGAGGATAGAGGGTCGTTCCCGCACAAGTCACCTACGCAAATCGCGGTTGGAGATTCGATGGCGCTTTTGAGTGCCGTTATTTATGGTCTTTATGTGACTGTGATGAAGCGCAAGGTTCCAAATGAGGATAAGGTCGATATGCAGATGTTCTTCGGGCTTGTTGGTGTTTTCAACGTGGTTCTCCTTTGGCCCATCTTCTTCATCTTGCATTGGACGGGCTTAGAACCGGTGAGTTTTGTTCCGAGCAGTGATGTGACTGAGCTAACAGTGACCAGTTTGAACTACCTCCCAGCAGCACCCTTTGGGGCATCATTATTGTAAGTTCTACCGTTTCACCGAGGTATCAGAAAACTAACACACGATCAGTTCAATGCAGTGTCTTCCTTCATCAGCGATATTTCATGGGCCCTCGCTCTGCTCATGACGACACCCCTTGTAGTGACAGTTGGCCTATCTCTCACAATACCCTTGTCTTTGATTGGCGAGATCTTGCAATATCAGCAATATTCGAGTTTTACCTATTGGGTCGGTGCTGCAGTTGTTTTTGTTTCATTTATTGTGGTAAGCCGAGAGAGCGACGATGGAGAGGAACCCAAAAAGGACGACGACTTGGAGAGATCGGTGGGAGTTTGAGTGTACGGGTCATGAAGATAACGACATATATGAGCTTACGGAATTTTGAGGCGTTTGGGTTGCTTTCAACAGCAAGTTACGGGACAGCAGGGACAAGTTATGCACAGGATGCAAGGCGTTTCAACCGCAAGATACGGCTAGATGAAGAGTTCAGTCACGGAGATATGGAGTTAAGGATGCAATTTAGAATGTTAGATTTCCCGATCTAGAAAATTGCAGGAAATAAGTCTTGATCGTGCAGGGTCTTGAGGGTCCTGTGGTTCTAGACCCTGAACTTCTCATTTATGCTCTCGATCTTGGGCCAAGTACGATGATCTGTGAAGATCGAATCGAAAGTTTGGGCGGGACCATGCGCCTCGGGACCGGGGTTCGGATCGGGGAAGGGTTTGAGGCAGCCCAGATTTAAGATGAGATGACCAATTGTACTGCATTTTGTGAAAGGATGTCACTTAGCTATGGAAGTTGTGGGAAATCGTATCATGCCTGGTAATGGCTGATGCTTTCGTCGAATTCTTTACTTTTGTAATGATTGACAGCTCAGCAGTACTCGTAATAGTATACGAGGACGTATTTGCTTCTTTGGAGCTGAAAGACCCTGGAATATCATCAAAACTCATATCGACTACTCCGTAGATCTCTGTTAAATCTCATCTGCCTTGATTCTCGTGTTCTCTATGCTCAAACGATAGAATGCTTGTCCTGGCCCGGAGCAGCTCCGTTAAACATTCTTCCCTGTCTGACCCAGAGCTTCGGAGCGTTTTGGCGTTAGATCCCTGTTTCCAGCGGGTCCATTACCGATGACACGCCAAAAATCCGATCATGACTTCGCTTCTCCAAGTGGGGGAGCTTCTTTTTTCAGCAGCACTCCGTGTCATGGGCCCTTGTCATGAGGGGGATCTACAGTGCCCTTGTTCCTGATGTGGCGTTGGCGGGAATCAGAGGATTGCGGCGTTTTGCATCATGCTTGATTTGATTTCCATGCGTGAATCGATAATTGATTCGTGGTGTGGCTTGATAAGCAGCTAACTGTGGATAATAGCTTAAGCTCTACCTTTAGCACTTAGGTAGAGACAGCTTTTGAGAATCACTAGCAACGGTGAATGGGCAATTAATTACTTGACTCGATTTTTAGAGGCTCTGATTCATTGCCCCCGTCATAAAAAATAAATCTCCCATGAGGAAGGCATGGCATCATATTTGCTCCTGCTCCGCTTGTAATATCGTTCATGTTGCCTCCTTCATCTCCATTTGCAGGGTCCTCTACCATCTCGACCCAGGCCAGACCGAAATCGACTCTTCCTCCTCCTTCATAACCCTACCTCACATTCACTTTGCCTAACCGATTTCCGGCTCGACCCTAGTCCTCATCATCTTGTCTTCCTCGCTCTTTATTTGGATTATTTTCTGTCCCTCCCTCAATCTTTTTGACAACCAAGTACTACTATCTTCGTTGCACACCAATAACCAAAATCTCGACCTGCAAATAAAACCCAATCCTCCCGTCTACGTGAAGTACAGGCCTGAGGGTGGCCAAGCAACCCAGTCAACTCCAGCGGAGATGGCCTCGCTTCAAGCCGACGTTTCACAACATCCTCAGCCTCAGCCTGCTTCCGACTCTCAACCCCAACCCCAAACCGAACCTCAACACCGCCAACATGACCTCTCCTTAGCCGAGTCTGTCGCCATCGCTACAAGATCGGTGCACGCAAAGCTTAACAAACTTATTATCGCCCGGCTACCGCTTGCGTTGCCTCCTCTTGCTACCGATTCATCTGCTTATATCACTGGCCTACTCCACGTTACACCTATCTATGTGGCCTTTGAGACGATGTGGCGCGACATACTCGAGTCGGGCTTGCCAGTAGATTTGCCTGAGGAGGACGACGAGACCTGTGAGCCGGAAACTCCACCAAACTCAGCAGAAACTGCATTCCCAGCTTCCGATCTTCACGAACTGTCAAGTTGCAGCAGGATGCAATCGATGCTCCAGCAAATGTATCTTCCGGGATTAATGCGTTCAGATCGTCTCAAAGCTGACATTGCCAATCTGGCGGGGTGGTCCGATGACACTGTTGAAGAGCAGTTACGGCTTGTCGAAGAAAATGGTCGATTGGGGGAATTTGTACAGCACATCAAAAGAACTGTTCAACACAGACCTCATGTGCTGATGGCTTATTCCTACATCTTGTTCATGGCACTCTTTGCTGGTGGCCGTTTTATCAGAGCTACACTCGAATCAGCTGGAGACGACTTTTGGGACCGGTTACCTTCGCCAGTTCAGCCGAACCGTCTCCCCTGTGAAGAGAGATCAAGGCCAACTAAGCGTGCAAGTGGCTTGTCCGACGAAGAGATCCCGATAGACGACTTTCACTGCCATGCGACTCATACGATGCCTCTCCGATTTTTCCACTTCCAGACTCCTGAGGACGGGGAAGATTTGAAACGCGAATTTAAGCAACGACTCGCTAGCATGGAGGGGCAACTCACCGCACGCGAGAAGCAGGATATCGTTCAAGAGTCGATTTGCATTTTCGACAACATGACACTTTTGGTTCAGCAGCTCGACATGGTCTGTGATGACCCAGCGCGTACGGAAAGTGGCGGCAGTACGACCTCGTCACTATTTGATTTGGTCGATCAACTGCACCCGTTTCGCTCTCGTCTCAGGGATAGTGTTTCTATCGCAAGAGACAGAATTCAGCGATCTACACCAAGTGGCACTAAATTAGTCTGGAAGATCTGGAACTACAGTGCAACCGCATCGACAGTGGAGCCAGAGAGTGGGATTAAGCTCCCGATCGGCCATCCTGGTCTCTCCAAGGATGATGCTGCAGCCATTGAACTCTGTCCAGCCTTTTCCAAGTCTGTGAGATTCGACAAGACCTTGCCGCGACCAATGCGCCCGTCAGCCAAAACAAACACGACCCAGCACGAGCTGAAAGATTGCCTTCAAGTTGCTGCCAAGAAGTTTGATAGTATGAGCCTCTTCAACTGGTTGATAGTATTGACCGTTGGTGTTATCCTGCTGGGAGCATTGTGCTCTTCCAGGCGTGGCCGCGAAGTAATGATTATTGAAGCATGAGAGGAAAAATTGTTTCACACAGCGATTGCATTTTGTTTGGCGTTTTAAGGAGTTGAAGGATCAGTATAACCCTCATTGGGGAGAAACACGTCTATACCTGGAGTCGGTTGCATTTTTATACCTAGAGCACACGTACACGATTGTACTCGATACCCGGCCCACAGCCTTTCAGCATTCCACAAAGAAACGATCACGACCCTAGATTCAGAGATAGCTAGTTTACGTCACAATACATAAACGATATATCCTTGAACAAGATTATACTGTAATTCCAATTTGTTGATGCTACCTTTTTAAACTGTCATTCCTCGTGAATGCTATCTGTAAATTCCCTTTATGAACCCGCCTGAGTGCTCGAGTCTCTGTGGAGATCTCTGCTAACATACATGTTTGAAACGCCCATGTTGGCTGAAGGGTATCGTAGAATATCAAAGAAACGCCATGCGCTTTTACAACATGCTACCAACTCGTTACTCATCATCTTCATCATCCCAATCACTACCCACATCAGCCCAGCCCGCCATGTATCGCTCACCACCAAAATCTCCGATTTGTCTCAAGTACCGAGCTCGACCTTCATCCTCCTGCCACTGACGTACGATGGAATCGTCAGACGCGCTGACCATTTTGCCATCGTAACTCCAGCTGACGTTTGAAACTTCACGTTGATGGCCGTGGACAAGAGCTGTACCATTGCGGAATATGGGGATTGTAGAGGAGGTGGGTTCAGCGCCTGCGGCAGATGAGAATGAGCGGGAGGGTGTAGGTGCAGATCCAGGTGGATCAAGGAGGTGAGCGCGCTGGGCACAAGCAGATCGAAGATATCGCTCGTCTGTGGGGAAGAGCACGACTGAAGACTCGGAGCTACCCACTGCAAGGAGGTCAGATGAGTGGGAGAGGCCCTTGGGTCGCATTCTGCACTTGACAAAAAATGTTCGTGCTGCGAAAGAGTCATGCTTAAAACCATAAAGCGGTCCTAGGCCCTGGGCTTCGATTGGTCTCCTCTTAGTGGCGAGGTCTTTGAGTTCAGGAGCGTGGCCAAGCATGAGATGAGACATGGAGTAAGCGTAGATGGTGTTATCTTTGCACACTGCGTACATACGGGCGGTATCACTGCTGAGAGACAGAGAGGTGATGCCATACGAACGCCAGGCGTGGTTGGAGGGGACGGTGGTAGCTGAGAGAGGGGTGCTCTTTTCTTGGTGACGACGGTTGATGTACCGAAGGTCCCAGAGCTTGACAACAGCTTCGGCCTCAGAAGCGGAGAGCAAAAGATGTTCACGACCAGCGGGAAGCCATTGGATTGCAGTAACAGAAGCAGGTGAGGTCTTACCATGGGCAGTACGCTCATGGGTGTTGTCAAGAGTGTTCACGGTCGAGGCCTGGAATGGTCTGATGGCCTCATCTCGAAAAGTGACGGTTCGACGGCCTGTCTCGCTGCTACTAAGTGTTGAGAAACTTCTCACATGAGAATAAGGGCACCTCAAATCCCACAGGCGAATTCGACCAGCCTTGTCTGATGTTGTCAATACGTTGCCAATAGATTGGCCCTTCTGCCAAGCGATCTGTCGAGTCGAGTTATAATGGCCATCTGCAAGTCTAGCAGCAATAGACTTGGTCGTAACATCCATAACCAGAGCTGCGTCACCGGCTGTAGTCGCAAGGCGCATATCATCTTGGGAAAAGTCCATATCCCAGATGGCATTGTCATGAACCGAGTAAACACCCAAGTCCTTTTCCTCGTTGGGATCATCGTTTGGAGAAGTGTCGAAGAACCTAACACAACCTTCTTCGTCACCGACAGCCGTCACGGGGGCATTGTGAGTGCTTGTAAGGCAGAAGGGGATGGTACGGCTGCCACTAGGAGTTAGACATTCATAAGAATCGATGCAGCGGCTGTGAAACCTTGCGGTCTCGGTTCGAGGGTCGCATGCTGGTGTGTGAAGATATGGTTGGCCAGTTGAATATCCAAGTCCATGCTCTCTGTTGAGTAATTGTGATGCAACGCCTCTATCGGCGAACTTTCGGATTGATCTAGGTGCGTAGTTGGCTAGCTCCTAGTGATGATGTCAGTGACGCCAGGGACTTTGGGGATAATCACATACGTTGACAGGCTGAGGTTCCTCAGAGATGCTGGGTGTATTAATGAGAAAGGGTGACTTTTTAGGCGTTCGAGCAACTCCACGGCTGGTCTTGAAGAAACTGCTCTGAGGTGGTGTAAGTAGAGATCGCGTGAGCAATTTCCAGACCAAGCCAAACTTACCAGGGTAGCTTTTCTATAGCTATCAAGACTCTCCAGACTAATCTGGCTTTCTGACATTTGAATTTCATTATCATAACCGACAAGTGTATTGCTTGAGGAAGAGGTAGTTGTGGTATTGAACCGAAGTGGTGGCATATCATCCAAGTTCAGTGTTGGTCTCTTGAAGACAGCCTCGTCACCCGAAGCCTCAGCCTGAAGCTTTCTCTTCCGCGATTCATCCTGGAATCTATCACTTGGAGAAGAAGGTAAAATAGGATCACTATGAAAAAGCGATTGGGGCGAAATGGGCTGCTGGTTAGTATCAGACTCGTCCAAGCTCCCAAGAGCAGTTCTAAACTTTGGCAACGGCTGAGTCTGAAACTGTCTTGGTTGCCAGAAGCGATTAAAGCGACGGGGCGTTATCGAGGGTGTTCCTTTTGGTCGTGACGATGATGCAGGCGTTGGAAGAGTATCTGGGCCATCGGAGGACATGGCAGGCAACGATGCCCTGTTGAAGCCGCGAGAGGCTGGGCTGGGCTGGACTGGGCTTGGGAGTCGAGTCTGACGATATATGCGGGCGAAGAGGTCACAGTTCACGAGTTGATGAGACGAATTCTTGCAGAAACATAAGATAAGATCAGAACATGTCGAACATTGAATAGTTATGGTGGAAAGAAGAAGCTCCAATTGCAGAATTAGTTTGGTTGCCAGAGGAGCCAAAAGGCCGGGCTGGGATGGGGTTGAAGCGAGACGAGAGTGGACCATGCCAATGTCATAGGCCAAAGACGCGGTCGCGAAACCGCGGAGCGTGTAAATGGGCGATGATCTCGCGTAGAATGGATTTTTGCTGGTACGTAGCGCCACAGTTGGGGAAGACCGTAAAACGTCAGTCAGTGCAACTAGCCGACGGGACGTCAACTGTGGCTCAAAGCTCTACTAGGTACTGGTAACTGTAGCTGCAGGGGTCAACGATAGCGGATGTGGCGACTCCCGCTTTTGGCGGTGGCTGCAGGATTGGATTTTCTTTTTTACCCCCTGAATATGATATCTTTTGAATGATTCATTTAACCCAAGACAAGTAATGAAGTAATGAATCACGGCTTCGCCGGGGGTCGTTGACGTGATGAGCAGTAATTGAGTCACAACTGGGGTTTGAGCGAAAACGGGCAATGAAGAATTGAGTTGTTGAGTCACGGTCTGCACGGGACTTGAAGGCAGTTCAACTGACGGGAGAGCCGTGATATTCTCCACTGTCAGCGGGCCATTCCCCGGAATTTCGAACTCTTAATGCAAGGATACGTAGGTAGAAGCAGTCTCGTGAATGATGCCATCAGTGATTACTGCAGGTACTCAATGCTATAAAAACATGTATTTTAAGTACATAACTTACCTACATATGTGTGGTACATATCACTGCATATGACAACTCATCAGCACCAATAGCCTTCAAGCAGTATCGTGGCCATCTCACGTTGGTTCTGTCATTCAAATCCTCAAATCCTTTAATCCTTTAAAGTGCCCCTATTTTCACTCGTCCCCATTCGCTACTCTTCCCCTCCACTCCCTCTCAGCCTTGTCTTACTTTTAACATGGGCTTGTCTCCCGCCAAAGCCGATGGCCCGTTCACCGATAGCCACTCCTAGCATCCACTGGAAGAAGCAACGCAACCCTTGAGAGTCCCATTGGAAGGCCAATGGTGTCATCTCTCACCATAATCACTCTCTCACAATCACTGTCCTCCCCGTCTCCGTAATACGCAATCCCTTATTTTTCTCCAGACATTTTTGTTCCTGCACCTCTCTCTTGTTATTCTTTCTCGCACCTGTCCTCCCTCTTGACCTATTTTTTATTTTTCTCCGGCCCAGATTGATTTCTTTGCGCGCACAAGGTAAAACCATGTGCCGTTTTCTGGTGAGTCCCCTATAATCAAGATCACTTATCTATACCTCCGAAGCCGGCTTCTTGGTCGCACGCAGAACACAACACTGACACCGTAACTCTTTCAGGTTTACAAAGGGAGTGACGAGATTCTTCTATCAAAGCTGATTCTCGATCCTACGCATTCTATTCTCAAACAATCATTCGATTCTCGGTTACGTCTCGTGGGTCAACCTCGATCAATTTCTTTGACCGACAATCAAAGGAACGTCATATCATAACTGACACATACAACCATCTACAGGATACGAGACGAGGTCAGAACAACGCAGATGGCTTTGGCATAGGCTTCTACACCGACCCTAAACTTGGCTCAGCGCCTTGCCTTTTCACATCGACCATTCCCGCCTGGAATTGCACCAATCTGCAGCGAATCGCTTCAAAGACCGCCTCCCGCCTAATCTTTGGCCATGTTCGTGCCACGACCGAAGGCTCCCTAAGCGAAGACAACTGTCACCCTTTCACACACGGTAGTTTGATGTGGATGCACAATGGCGGTCTGGGTGGATGGAAATACATCAAGCGTCGCCTGGGCGAGCGTCTCGCCGACAAGTGGTATCTGGGCGTCAAAGGCGGAACAGATAGCGAGTGGGCATTTGCCCTCTTCCTCGATACTCTTGAGCGACTTGGCCACGACCCAAGCGCTTGCCCCGAAACCGGCTTTGGCCCGACTATTCTTCGAGAGGCTATGAAGCGCACGATCGCGCAAATCAACGAGATGACCGATGCGATTCCCGAAAGCATACTGCAGAACGAGGATGTTGATACCAGAAGTTTGCTCAACTTTGCTGTCACCGATGGTCATAGCGTGATCTGCACTCGATACATCAGCAGTTCCAAGGACGAGGCGGCTAGCTTGTACTATTCTTCCGGAACCCAATGGACAACGCGAACACAATCCGCGAGTGACAAGCAGTACCAGATGGAACGCAAGGATCGGGGCGCCGACATTGTACTTGTTGCAAGCGAGCCCCTGACGTTTGAGAGAGGTATGTAAATTGCTCTGGGTATGGAAGAGGAGAGGGGCTGACTTGAAGCAGAGAATTGGGTCAACGTACCGACAAATTCCATCTTGACAATCCACAGACAGACCGTCATGGTCCATCCAATAATAGACAAGTACTACGAACGTGATCCTCACCACGTTCGCTCCAGTGCATTTGTCCAGGCCAAGGGACTTACGTCAAATGAGAAGAACCGAAGTGACGTTGCTAGTCCTGCGGGAGTTGATCGGCAGCAACAGGAGCTTGAGGGCTACCGCAAGATGATGACAAGCACTCTCAACTTTGGCCCACCTAGGAGCCTCAGTCCCGATATGTGCCGTCAAACCAGAAAGATAGCCCCTGTGTGTGAGTCGATACCTGTGCCTCAACCACAAGCGCAGCCTCCACCTGCACAGACAACCCCTCCAAGTGAACAAGGCAACAAACCAGCCCCAGCGCAGGGAAACATCAAAGTTAAGAGACGATCTGTCCAGCTGCTGGATGGCAACCAAGGCCAAAGTTCAAACGATTACGATCAAATCTCCGATACCGAAGAGCCAGCGAGGGCAGACGTGCATAATCCTAGGAAGCTTTCGCGGTATTTTCCCGAGCTGACTCTTGCATCGCATGCGGGGTCTTAGAAGAAGGGGGAGGGGAAGGCTGGGGAACAGAGCAGCGTAATCAGGGGAGATGGCATGATAGAAGGGGCCGAACGGGTGCGCGATTTGGTTTGAGTTTATTTTATGACCTTGTGTACTTGGGCATTGCACCGAATATCTCGGCGCTTGTGGCATGGTGTTGAGGTGTGAATTTCAGTGGGTGTATTCTACCTAGATTGGCATTTCGGAATGTTTTTTTCGTCTCTCTTTACTTTCGTGGATACCCTCTTATCGGAACCATATCGGGTCATAAGAACAAAATGGGAGTCAAAGTTTACTGCACGACGACGTCTCTATGCTTTAAAAAGGGCTCGGTTAATATGGTGACAGACACGTTTAACTTTAGGCAACAATGGCTTTTGCCGTCTCATTGTCAAGCCAGAGTGCTCATTCGCTGTCACTCGCCCCTTTCACGGCCAAATGCGCGTGAGAGTTCAACAGCTCCCACATAATATCACGAACAGGACACACAGGTGCGCCATACTGTTGAGGCACTGGCAAATAGGGGGAAATACGTGGTGGCGATGACTTCAGAGGCAGAGTGTTACTCCATGGCTGCCTCCAAAAGAGCCCGCCCTCAACGATGACAACCGCTGGGACACATACCTTACCTTCCTTAACTGCCAAAGGACGTTTGGCGTCGCTCAACTCGCGAAAGCGGTGCTTTTCAACGCTTTTGCAACAACTTAAACTCTACATTCATTGCCTCTTCAAATCTACTTAAACGTGAAGCTCTCGTCACCACATCCTTTTCTCTCCCCCCTGACTAAGGTATACGATACGACATATATATTGAGCAGCGAGTAACACTGAGCAGCGATATGCCTTGCGGTATCGCCATCATCCGGTACGAGCAATGTCTGCACATGCTCCTCTTCAAGGTCGGATGCACTCATGGTTGCACAGAGCTCTGCCCTCCATCGCGTCAAAAAGTCCTCGTCGTCACTAGTTACCTCTGGCTCTGTGAGGATTGCCACAAACGTGAATTCAACACAGAACTCGCCCAGCGAGACCTCGAATGGACAAATCTTCAACGCGGAGTCCCTCAGGACTATCCCCCCGAGCAGCGGAACATGCTGAGCATGGTTTTGCAGGGCCGCGAGTGCCTTGACAACGCGTTCCGCGCCAGTGCCCACGCCATGAAGCTCGAAGAGATCCAATGGGTGGCAGAGTGGACCTATGAGTATGGCCTTATGCTATACGATGTAACGGTCGCGAGGAGATGGGTTCGAAGCAGGGCTTTGAGGAGGATAGACCAGCTGAGGAGCTTGCGTCTTTGGGATCTTGTCGTGATCAAAGATGGACTACGATGTTCTAAGGAGCTCTTCGAGGACCAACCAGAGGAAACCTACTGGACGATCAGTGGTGAGTAAAGCCTTCAGGGGTATTACAGAGGAGAGAACCTGACTTGGCCCAGAGCAGTTCGCCGAGCAACATTATGACCGAGCATGCGAGGTACAGCACCCTCAGCCAAGTCGACCACAGCCCCCTTTGTTTGTTGAGATTGAGAATACACATACACCTGAGACAAAGGAAAGCACTGAGTCCCCTGACATGATGGACTGGATCCAAGATGGCGAGGATGATGATGACAAGGACTCCGTAACTGAGGAACCTCCTCCATCACAGCCACTCCCTGACGAGTAACTCCACGACACTGCTACGACACACGACTACCCACGTCTCGCTGAGCCAGTAGTTGCACCCTAAGTACCAAGTAGGCGGGCCTCGAGGAGGAGACCCGAAGCTCTGGTCGGCAGACGCGGTTATCAACTTTGATTAAGATGCCGTAACACAAACTCCCCCAGCGTTGCAATACACCCACGGCCACGGCCACAGCACAGCACAGCACAACCCACGCTCGCCCGCATCATTCTGTATGTGCATAGTTTCAAGTAAGAGGTATAGGAAA